CGGTCGGAGAGTGGGGCAGGGGGCGCGGGCGGGGGGGGGGGGGGGGGGGGGGGGGGCGCGCCGGGCTGCAGTGAGATATGATGAGGGAACTAAACAGGCATACGCATACGCACACACAACTCACAACAGCGAGTTCAAATAATCAAGAAACTTCCGATTTCATCAATTTTATTGTGGTGAGTCGGGATGCGTTGAGTATTATTCAGTTTCGTTTCAGCTTTCTTCTCGAGGACGTTTTAACTATATGTAATACGATACAATATGTGCAAGGTGCAAGCTTGTAAAGAAAACATTTTTCTACAAAATGAGACGTCGGCAAAGTTTGTGCGATGTGTGATTCAATTTGTCTTACAGTTTCACGAAAAACCCTGAAATGGACACCGAGCTCGAAAGGAGGTGGATGTGGGTCTCGATCTTCTCGTCAATCACGCATGCAATCACCCATCCACATCCTCTGTATTTTAATGAAATAAGTTCACAAGTAGATCATTGTTTAATTAAGCTACAATGCTTTTGGTGATAAATGTTTCCATCTCTATGTTGATGTCAGGCAATCGGTTGGTATTCATATATAGCAGACTCTATCTTCCCTTCTCAAATCACAGCTAGTATCAATTCCATCTACTGGAATTCAGAAATTTTTTTTTTCTAGTCACTCTTTATCATAATCAGGATTGCAAACAATTTTTACGACAGCGTCAGTTAAATCGGAATGAAAAGTTTTTCGTATTGAAATGAATTAGGAATAATAAACGAAAGGATTCCATGTCTTTTCTTCAAGTAAATAGTTCATCAGAGTGAATTTTTAAAGAAAAACTGAATCCAATCAGCAACGAAAAAAACTTCGATAAAAGTTTTTAGTCAACAAACGCTCAAAAGTTCAATTTTTTTCGATATAGTAGCCGTTTTTTCATGAAAACAACCTTTTAGTCACATTTCTACATGAATGTAATGAAATTAGACAGAAAAAAAGCTCAAAAAAAAGTAGCAAACAATCTGTAAAAACACGATTTTTTTCGTTCGAAAAACGTGTTTATATGATGAATTATAGTTGCGACATTAAAAATGATTTTTGTTGCTTCTAATCATCTACTGATATTAGTATTAGGATGCCTACAATACTATTCAGAAGAGACTTTTACAATGCAGTGAAAATTTCTAGAGAGGCGACGAATTCTAGAAGAATGTCATATATCGTCTATAGATACTAGGCAAGGAAAACGCGTTTTCTTCCTTTCAATATCTATGCATCCTATTTTTTATAAATTTTGATTTAATTCAATTAACAGTTGTATATGGAGCTGATAAACATACAAATTCCATTTATAGATTTCAAATATTTCAAAACCTTTAGAATTCACGCAAATAGTATCTTCAACTCTTTAATGCTCATTTATTGTATATTGTGAATAAAACATGGCATCATTCTATTCGTATATTTTTCTTGTTATATATTAAAACAGGATTATTTAAACTTATATTGTTGGTTTTAAAAAATTCTTCATATTACAAGAAGTATCGATAAACGTAATGAAACGAACTAATAATAAATCCATTGTATAAGCAGATTACAATGGAATATTAATTTGAAGAAAACTATAATATGAATCAGATTAAAGAAAAATAAATGAAAACTACTAAATAGAATCTAACGTGCATGAGAGAGATAAATAAAAATACTTTTAAGATATTCTTTTCTTTTTTAACATTTATAAATAGGCCCTCATCTGCTCTAAAATCAGTTCAGATATCCAGGTCTACTCACATGCTATATAAATAGTGTGCATGTTGCCTTGGAATTGGCTATCTATATTTTAATGTTTATGAGACCATAAATTAATATAAAAAAGCTTAATTCTGTTACATAAGCGGGATATTGTGAACTGATATTCAACGTCCTAAACCAGTATCAAAAGAAAAAAGATAATTCAAGTTCCTTGTGATATATTGTTGCATTAAAATACATTTAGTTCTTTTAACCAGTTGAAGATAGGGTAACATGTTTTCAATGGTTTCAAAATTGCATAATAACGTCGTTTTAATGATAATATTTCATTCAAACGGTGTTATAAGAGAACCTTAGCGTGTTAACTAAAGTGCTCTGTAAGCCCGGATATTGGCGCTTTTCCCTAGACCTCCGAAATCGACTAAACTGAGTCGAGTGGTAACATTTGTTTTTATTTTCAAACTTGTCTGAAGCTATTATATCAGCCTTTTCGATATCGTCACTGAATAGTCAAGAAACTGAAAATAATGGAATGCTACATGTTAGTATCGCAGCATCAGACAACTTCAAAAATAGAAAACCAACAAGCAAATGTTACCACTTGATTCAGTTTGGTCGATTGCTCTTGTTCTGATCCATTCTGACTTGGTTGAAACCTGTTTGGTCGATTTTGAGCGTCTCAGAAAAACGCCAATAACTCTTGAACGAAACAAACGAGAGAACTTGACCTTGCATAGATCGAAAGACGACAATTTTTTCTATGTAATGATTGCATTTCAAGTCAAAATCCAATGGTGAAAACTTTTGCAATATCGTTTACAAAATGTCGACCATATTGTTCACCTGATTGATCAATTGATGACCAATCAGATTTTAACTGACTTCGTTTTGGAGAAAATAATTCTCTTGCCAATGCTGAAAGCCACAGGTCTCTATTTTGTTTCTATCAAAATTTATTGAAAAAATAGCCACTTGTTTTATATTTTGGCGTCGATATTAGTATTTCTCATTCACTTTAGAAAACTTTCAAAATACATTCGACCTATTTTTCTTGACTAAACCAAAAAACACAGCTATCAGTTCCTATAGATAAAATAAAAATATTATTGTCGATTCAAGTGTCAGCGGTCACTAAAAGCAATGAGTTGATGATTATGCCAGTACCATGTGATCTAATATATTTCTTTTCATTATTAGATGTTGATGACTGTCTTGTTTATGCTTGACTTTTACTCCATTTAGCTTTTACTCCTGTATGTAATAAACTTGATTTCAATACATTGGTAATTAATTCAAGAAATCTTCAACATTTCAAATTAATCAACAATATTCTCAATGAAGAAAAGCCTCCTAAACTACAATAATCTAGATGCAAAAACATACAGACGAAAACATCAGTAATCTTCTTTTCGATTTTTGAACATGTTCCAGTTTCTTAATAATACACCATAAAATTGAGTGCATTATCATTACAATTTACACCATGCGTTGATAGTATATGGCTATTCAATAATTTCTTAGAAACAAATATAATAACGAATAAATGGTTTGGAACTGTTTGGACATGTTACCGCTCGGTTTTTATCGTTTTCTAATCTTCGTCACCCTTGTCACCCTGTGTCAATTTTTTCATAGCTCCTTTCCTACATGATTGGGTGATACTACCGTTGAAAATAAACGTGGGTATGGATGTGGATATACATATTAGTAAAGGGATAAACCTCACTGGTCCCCACATCCACACCCAACTTTGGCACCAACTGGTGTCAGGACTCATCAAGTTTCACTGCCTATTCCGAAAATGGCTTCCATAAATAACATATGTTGATAATCAGTATAACTCTCTTTTCTCTGAATTCTTTTCTGCTATTTTCAACTGACAGGACAAACGAGAATTCTTCGAATCGAACAATTGATGTAACATGCAATGCAAAAGTCTTTGAACAAATGCTAAATCCTGTCAAACGATATTTCTAATTGCTAATTAAACAATTTTTTTTTGTTAGAAAGAGAAAACTTTGAACTACAAACTGAAACCAGACTTGTTTGTCTAGAGCGAATCTACGAAGCAAGAGGAGTCAAAAACCAAACATCTCTAAAAAGAGTTCTTGCAACTTCACTTTCGCGCAATATCATTTTCTATTTTCTATTCGTTCTTGTATATCAGAAGGAAAATGAAAAACGCACCTTTGTTGATAAGTTTCGTAGCATAAAAAGTGCTCTTTTCAATGATATATTGGAAGTTAAATTTAGTCTTGCTTTTTTTTTTAGAAAAATATAGCTGTTTCTGGATGACACTATTATTCAATCTTTCTTTCTACTTGACTGTTTTGCAACAATAAAACAGTTTCTTTTAATTCTTTTCTTCTGCTAAGTTTCTAGGGTCAAAGGTATTTCGAATAAATAACACACAAAAAATTCAGTTCACGTATTATTTCTGGAGATTGTAGTTGATCTTTTTCTCAATTTATACTTATTGAAAAAGACTTTTTTACAAAAATTTCAATTTTCCATTTGTCTTAATTAAAGAGTAAAGAGTGGATCTTAAAAAAAATGACCAAAACTGACATCGATAGATCTTTTGATGTACTACATATTGGCGTATTTTTTTTTCGGTTAGAATTCAATTCCTGTACCTCAAGATAGTTTAGAAAGAGAAACATTCCTAGTTGCAATAACATTGCAAGAACGTTTTTAGAAGTGCTTGATTTTTAACATCTTCTGCTTTGTAGATTCGTTCTAGAAACATAAGTCTGTTAAAAAATTGGTAGCTCAGCCGTTGCTCTTTCCAACAAAAAAAAAGTTTGACTAGTTTTGGAGTGGCCAATATGGTGTAGCATAGTTTAACATCTGTCCAAAGACTTTTGTATCGCATGTTATAAAAATAGCTAGAATTGTCCAAGAACCTGTCGTCGCTTCTCTATCTCACAAGAAATTTATTCATATCGCCGAATTTTCAACTTATTGATGGAAAGGAATGTGTTGTTGGAGTTGCGTCTATCGAATAAGTTCATGGTCAAAATTGAGTCAAAAGTCCTTAAGTCACCTGTTGTAAACTTTTAAAACAACAATAAGAAAAAGATGCCTTGATATCTTTAAATCGTTGCTGTAACATATTCGAAACTTGTCTCATTTAATAGAAAATTCGAAGGCGTTAGTAAACTATAGGTGTTGTTTTTATATGTGCAATAAAAATCTTATTCATTCATTCCTGTCGTTTGAAATTACTTGACGGAATAGTAAAAGAAAATACATTTTGTTTTTTTTACCACTCCCTCTCACTTTTTATTTGCGCAAGAATGGTGGGTGGAGTATGCTATCGTTCTTTATCAAACAACATTAATATACAGTGTCCGTATTTTTTTTTATATCTGATTTTTTCTTTCTACCGTGAGGATGTTCGTCTTATACCATGTGTTTGTTTTGGTCCTGCACCGCAAGAGAAAGAAAAAAGAGATAAATAGGTTCGACTGCATTCGGGTTGCAAACATACGGCGCAAAATTACCTTCCCTTCAATATCGTTAGCACGTTCTTTTTATAATAGCGATGGATCGTCATAAACAACAAACAGGTAACAGTATTTTTTCATCAACCGTGCATATGAGCCAGAATTCGATTTTTTTACTGAATTATGATGTATTTTTTCGTTTATATATAGGGTGTTCTATAATAACTGATGATAAATTATTTTTGATATTTTTTACATTTTTTGTTGGCCTAGAGAGTTGAAATTTTTATCACATATATATCTAATGAAGATCTTTTATTTCTGAAATGTTCAGCTCTCTAGCTAAAACTAGTGATGAAATGCATCGAGAAGACTGAAATACATAAATTTTCGAAAATGATTTTTCAATACTTTTTTACTGTGAAAATATTGCAAGGTAGTTCTGCGAGTAGTCAACCAAAAAATCACAGTATTCAGAAAATTTTATTTTGTATCAAACTTTGCAGAGCTTTTTCCGCTGATCATTTTGGAGAGAAAAAATTTGAATTTATTGAAAAATAATGATGTTATAGATAAAATACTAAACACTATAAAATGTAAGTAAACGTCAATTCACATATCTCAAAATGGCTATAAGCTGGAGAAATATGACATAGTAGCTTTTGTAGAGGAAATTTTTCTCTACACAACCCTACAGATGGTTTCTTAAATACAGATGAATAGGATGAATAAACCTCGATTAAACATTGTATACGATATTCTTATTTAAAAAAAATCTGGCATCTTGTGTTTTTACGACAAATATTTTGACTATAATATCGTCATTTCTCAATGAAATTCGAAAAGTTTTTTTTGACCAAAATGATCAGCGAAAAAGGCTCTACAAAGTTGGATACGAAAGAAAATTTTCTGAATATTTTGTGATTTTTTGGTTGACTATTCACGGAACTACCCTGCAATATTCAGTACGAAAATTTATGAATTTCAATCTTCTGGATGCATTTCACCACTAGCTTTGGCTAGAGAGCTGAAACTTTTAGAAATGGAAAATCATGATTAGCTGTATACGTGATATAAGTTTCAGCTCTCTAGGTCAACAAAAAGTGTAAACAATATCAAAAAAAATTATCATCAGTCATTGTGGAACACCCTTTATGTGACACAAAAAATTAATATTGAATAGAGCAAACATCTGTCTCTATGTTTTACTTTTATATTAATTCATCTTTTAATAGAAGGTGTAGTGAATTGTATTTAATGTTGTTGTTGGGAGCTTCGAGAGATCTTGTGGATATTGATAAAGTTAAACTAAGACTCCTGATGGTAAAAAAAGATTAAAAAAACTTCTTATTGGCATCTATACTATCTTTGACATTAGTGACGATAAAATGAGTAGTATAGAGAACTTGAGATTATGAAATCATAAAACTCACTGGTACTCATCCACAAGATAAACAAGTATCATATTTTTGTAGTCTTTTCTTTTTCTGTCTTGGCCAATCGACGATTTCAACTTAATAGTTTTCATTGTTATGACGATAATTTCATCGTATTCTCTTGTAGAAATCCCTGAACAATCAAAAAGACATCCCGCATGTCAATTTAAAACAGGTAAGATATGAAGAAGTCGTAAACGGAAAAAATGAAAACTTTCGTGTTCATTGTGAAAAAAAACTTGCCTATTGGGTACTTGCAGTAAGCAGCCTAGTGTACCGGTCTATATGTCTTTAGACAAACCATGGCTTGATCGTCAGTTCAGTCAGGATGAAGTAACGATCAAAAAGCCCGATGGCCTCGAAAAAGATATGAAAGATCCTCCTAACCATGTCGATCAAAGGATAATGGATCGTATTCATGGTTCGATGATGGGAATGGCATTGGGCGATGCTGTTGGTGCTCATGTTGAATTTCGACCCCGACATTACCTCGTTCAAAATCCAGTAACCGAACTAAAAGGTGGCGGCACATGGGGTCTTAAAAAAGGACAGGTAATCTTCTACTCTGATCAATTTTTTCTCTTTTCTTCAATTAACCTTTGGAAATGTTCAAACCAAGACTAAAACATGACTTCCTCAGTAAAAGCCTTAACAGGAAGCAATTAGTCCAATTTGAGAAACGTTACGGATGAAAATTGAATGAATTCCTTCTTGCATTACTCATCTTTTATTTATCTATTAAAACTATTGTCATACTTAGAAGAAAACTTGTGAGTCCTTTCTGTATGTTACTGTATACACAGAGACTGCTTATTTCATGTCAATTGCACAGTATACTTTGCAAGTATTAAACATAGGAACTCGATTCATGGCGTTCGTACTATGATTATTTGATTATAGATAACAAATTGGACGTAAAATTGTACTCGAAACATATTCAAAGAAATTTTCTAACAAGAAATCAATTTCTGAATTATAAGCGGACAACGGAATGGCTATAAATAGAGCATAGAAACAGACTAATGATACTAAAACAAGTATAGAAGTATGAACTTCAAAATATTGTATTGAAAAGTTATATAGCTACTCTATGTATTTTGATCTTTGAGTAAATTTCTCTGACAAACAAAAGGACTGCAGAAGTGTAATAGGCGATTTTGTTTGAAACAGATTTTGTGATCCTTAAATTGTCCCAAGAAGTTCCACCATAAAGAGATACTTCCATCTCAACATATTGAATGATCACAATATTCGCAATCATTCTCTAATATATGAGGAAGAAACCACTGACTTCAGGTCGTCATGTTGCAAATTTGTTTTGTAAAGATCAATTATTTAACAATAGAGCTGTAAGATATGATTGTTGTAGTTCACCGACGATACATCCATGGCTCTTTGTCTTGCAAATTCTTTGGTAGCTCGTCGAGATTATGTTCCTTACGATCAACTAGTTCGTTATAAATGGTGGTACAGAGATGGGTATATGTCTTCTACAGGAACATGTTTCGATATTGGTGCGGCCACCAGACAGTCATTGGGTGAATTTGAACGTCGCCAAACAAAATTCGCCAAAAAACACGGAATTCCTTTGGATGAATTGGACTTTCTCTCAGATCTTCAACTCCTGGAGAAGTTCGACGTGAATTGCAGTAAAGAAGGTGTGGCTGGTAATGGACCTTTAATGCGACTCGCGCCTGTGCCATTATTCTTTTATAAATATCCTACTCATGCTGTCGAGTATTCAGGATGTAGCGGATTGATTACTCATGGTGATGACAAAGCCCGCGATGCCTGTCGTTACTATGGTGCTTTAATCGTGGCTGCTGTCAATGGGACAACAAAAGAGGAACTACTTAATGAAAAATTCTACAAAAACAATAAAGAGTGGTTTGGTGATAATCCCCTTCATCCAGATATTGAAAGTATAGCGCAAGGCTCTTATCGAAAAGATGGATATGATAAAGGCATTCGAGGTAAAGGATACATTGTTAGTGCTCTCGAAGCTGCTCTATGGGCTTTTTGGTCTGATAATAACTCTTTTCGAGAAGGTGTTTTGGCAGCTGTAAATCTTGGTGATGATACTGACACAACAGCAGCCATCTATGGTCAATTAGCTGGTGCCTGCTACGGTTATGAAAAGCTACCCAAAGAATGGACACAAGAAGTATATGCCAAAGGTTTTATCAAATGTTTGAGCAAATGGATTGCTTATGAAGGAATGAGGTGGTCTCCAAAAAGTTCAAAATCTTTAAAAGTAGCTTCCATGACTGTTAATGAGTCAACTGTGATAGACAAAAATAGAAACACCTACCTGCAATCACCAAGAAAAGAATGTGATGCACGATCAGGATGTGTCTCAAAGTTAGAACTACCGACTGGCTCCCCAACAGATTCTCTATCACGAAGTCGTAGTTTGCTCAAAATGTCTGAAACTTTGATGTCCGATTCAAATGCACAATCTGGAGACTCTCGTGTAAAATCAGCGGAACGTCAGGATCTCAAATGTGGAACTCAACGTAAGGTCTTTAGATTTGTAACCATGTATATACGACCAAGGAAAGTTTCACTGAAACAAACAGGAGCTTAACCCAGCATATGGAGAAGTTTTGAAATCATGGGTGCGGTGTGCCTCATACCGTTTCCTTTCCTCTCGCTTTTTCTTTGTTACATCTCTCGATGAAAGTCCATACTTTGACTTCAAGAAGACCTCTGAAAGGACTTATTTATTATGCAGTCTGCTACAGTTACTGTTTTGTTATAGGACTTTATTTCCTGAAAAAGTGCAATACTTGCGATGATGTCTGTGAGTGGCTTCGATCATTGGGCAATCAATATAAAGTTTATGTGAGTTGTTTCAAGAAATACAACATTGATGGATATTGGCTTTTAAACCATGTTGGCGATGAACATCTTACGAAGTATGGAGTCAAAAATGCAGACCATCGACGAGTTATTCTTGATAGTATTAAACAGTTACAAAAACAATGTCCTGAACAGTACGCGACGCCATAAATATGAGAAACTTTCGCTTTCTTTCAGTTTTAAACAAGCACTGACGAAAATTTCAGAATGATAGTCTGATTGAGTATCTCTCTCTTAGCAACATCTAGACAATGCACTCTTTTAGAAATTCATTTTGAGACGAGAACAAGACCTGTTTTATTGAAATTCTCGAAATATTGTGATAATTATGAAACCTATGTCTGTTAGCCACTAGTTACTACAGGAAAATAAGTCTACGTAGTTAAAGTACAAAGTTCAAGACAAACATACCGTGCTGCGGCTCTTCCAGCCTGATGCAATCTTATCCATGGGTGAAATACTTATTCTATTATAGTTTATTTGTAAATAATGAATTTGAGGCGATTCAAGTTTATATTTACTGTGTCATAATTTGCTGTTGCAAAGCTAGTAGAAATGATTTTATTCATAATCCTAGATAGCTTGTTTGAGAACTTCATTTACTTTGAACCATTCGTTATTCCATTCTTCATGTATCATTTGATTTCTGCGAAAGAATTCGATCGAATCAAGTTGATAGTGACATAATGAATAACTTTTACAAGAGGTTGACAAAGTTCATCCAAAATTCTCATAAAGATTTTTTAATTTCAAATATTTGTACAGAGTTCAATACATGGATTTACATAGATCAATATGTTGATGGTATTGACAACTAATTCGTAATTGACTAACTGTTTAGTAGAAATCACCATTGTTTTCATTAATGTTGTTGGGTAACTAGTTAGATGAGCAGAGCGATTTGAATATGATGAACATTCGTATATTGATATGTAGTGGCATTTTAACATAAAATAGATACTTATTTACTACATAGTATTATTTTCACAGTCACAATTAATAGTTTTATTAATTTTGATAATCTAACATAAGAAGATTCATTACAAAAAAACAGAAAAGATTAAATTCTAATAATGTACTAAGATTTTTACATTGCATATTTAAATATCTATAAATAATTTTCATATCCTATTAATTCATTTAATTTGAATATAAACCAAAAAAAAAACAAAATCTAAAATTATTCTTTATCAATAACATTGAGTACTTCATAACAAACACCCATTGTATGATAATCTGTTTTTCCTGCTGGTGATTTTTCATCAGAATATTTTTCATTTGTTGGTGTCAATATTCTATACCATGCACCATATTTATGATCAACAAAATATTTCCAACTATAATCCCATATTTTATCATACCATTGCCAATATTTTTCATCTTTTAATCTATCACCAAGTAAAGCAGCTGTTGCTAAACTTTCAGATTGTACCCAAAAATATTTATCACCATCATATAAATTACCTTCAAGATCGTAACCATAAATTAATCCACCATTTTTTTCATCCCAACCATATTTCATTGCACGATCAAATAAACGAATAGCACGTTCAAGATGCCATGGCTGTGGATCATGTCGATCAAGTATAAGTAAAAGTTTAGCCCATTCAGTTTGATGACCTGTTTGAATTCCCCATGGACGAAAAATATTTGTTCGAACATTTTTATTATATTCAAATTCTGGTGTCCAATCAAGATGATAATGTTCCCAAATTTGATAATGTAATTCTTTTGAACTATCTGTCATTACTTTAGCTAGTATTTTTGCACGTTCTAAATAGATTTCATCATTAGTAACTTCATATGCAGCTAACATAGCTTCACATGCATGCATATTATCATTTTGTCCTCGATAATCTTTTAATTGCCAATCACTTGTTGCTTCACTTGCATATAAACCTTTCTCTTTTAACCAAAAATGTTCTTCCATTACATCATATGTTTCACGAAGCCATTCACGTGCTTGTTCAATACCAACACGTAATGCACATGCATATGCTAACATAACAAATGCTAAACCATAACAATGATTTGTATCATCAGCTATTTTTCCATCATAAACAACCCATGCATAACCACCTGTTTGTGAATTACGATGAAAATTTCGAATGTAATCTATACCATGACGTGTTCGTTTAAGATAATCATCTTTACTAAAATGAACATATGCCATAGCATAATTGAAAATAAATCGTGTTGATGATACTAAATGTCGAGTATGAGGATCATAAACTGTTCCATCATCTTTATAAAATTGATAGAAACCACCTTTAGGATCCACTGATTTATCATAAAAATCAAGTATTTGTTGAACATGTGAAAGTAAAAATGAACGACTTCGAAAATTCATTTTTATTATAATATTATCTGAAATAGAATTATGCAATATTACGAAGAAATTATTCAAGAAAATCAAAAATTAAAAACAACGTCAATAAAGTCATAGAAGAATAAATAAATAAATAAAGTATGTTAATATTATGTAATAGAAAGAAAATAATCCACGTATATTTTACTGTTTCATGTTACAAATAAATATTTGCATTTCAAATAGAGATAATCATCCTGAATGAAAGTAACATCTGTCTATAATGAACATTTGAAGTTACATCAAGATTTAACTATATAATTTGCTTATTATAAATCTTTCGAAAATAGTAAATATCAAAGTAAAGTATTATCCTACTGGTTTATAATAAACCCCTCCCCGTAATAGAAGCCCCTCCCATATTAGAAGCCCTCCCCCTATTAGAAGCCCCCTTTAAAGGATTTATCCAGCAAAATTTTCAATTTTTGCCAGCAAAATCCGGCCAAAGTTTGCAAGGCCTAATAGAAGCCCCGGGGGGCTTGTAATATGGGAGGGGATTTACAAAGGTTTTTTTTTGTAATGGAATTTTTGCTGTCTTATGCAACCGATGTGACATATCTATATATATATAGTACAAAAAAAAGTCATTTATCCATCAACTGGTTATCAAATTCCAAATCTCGAATTTTCTTACTCAACTGCTACAGAAAAATCTATAGCGTTTCTTTTCGCACGATGAACTAAATCTAAATTTGAACTTTAACAAAACATATATGAGATAAGATTAGTTCAATTAACACAGTTTTAATTGTACTTTTTAAAAAATGAAATACTATGGAAAAACGTTAAAAAAAATACTAAAGACAATTCAAAAGTAGTGACGAAAATATTTTGTTCTCTCGTGAAAAACTTGACAAAATTTTCTCTTTATATGTAATGATAATAGAAACAATGTTCTATATATTTGTAATACTTGATCATTCTTCAACTAATATCATAATAATAAAATTTCGATAAGAAATGTTTGTTATGACATGTAACGATAACATTAGATTATATTATCTTCGATGTATATTCTGCTTTTGCTCGCCTCTTTGTGGATGTGAGAATGAGAGAAAAGAATATTGACATCTAATAAAAGACGAGCAAAACGGGCAGAATATACATCGAAGACAACGTGATCTAATATTATTGTTACATATTATAAAAAATATTTCTCATCAAAATATTTCCATTATAATATTAGTTGAAGAATGATCAAGTATCATAGAAAAATAGAGCATTGTTTCTACTATCATTACATATAAAAAGAAAGTATCCTCAAGCTTTCTATACGGAATTAAAGTACCTTCTCCATTACTTTTGAATTGTCCTAAGTAAAACTGATAGTTTTTGAAACAACACTTTGATTATTATAATAAGAGCACGAAAATTTACTTTCAATAAATTTTATTAAAACAAAAAAAAAACGATATATCTATAAAATATTTTTCAACCAGTTCGGCAACTCGAGATTGTTGTCTACAATAAAAAAAATCTAAAGGATGTAAAAGATCGATACATAAGCATATTTTTCTTAAACCTACCACTACTGTTAAATTTGAAAAATTTTCTCAAACAAACTTAAAGACTAAATATTCTGAAGATAGAATTGAACTATGAAAAAAAATTTCAAATAGCAAGTTTGGGAGAGATTTAAAATCTCTATTAAATGAACTTTTTCTAAAATTTCTACTGATTATCTAAGACAATAAAATATTTAATCACAAAATTGTCCCATTATTTCTGCATCAATCGCTAGAAGTCCTACCGTTTGCCTTACACTATCTCTACCTTTTCTTCTTTTGATGATATGAAATACAGCATTTTAAAAATTGCCGGGTATACAACAGTTGATAAGATAAAACAAGGAGCATGTTAATAATTCAAGGCTTTCAAAAGGTTTAAACTATTTATATTTTGACACTTTTATATTATATTTGCTATATTAATTTCATTTAATAGAACATTGATCATTATCGATGATTCATAGTCTGTAAAATTTGTTTTTCTTTTAGCTTTCGAATTTATTTTTTGTCTCTTCTATTACTAAAAAGCATTCTATTTACTTTCAAGGTTAAATGTAAAGCGAAAAGAACATGTCTATGCTTTTTACGCAGACATGAAATAAAATATAAATGAAGAAAACAAAAAAAATATTGCCTGCATTCATCGACAAAAATCATCGAAAAATTACTGTTTTTAAATTTTTTATATGGGAAATTTATTACGCAAACATGGTGAAGATTACAAAACTTTATCTGATGATATTCTCAATCGTTGTCGTATTATGACTGGATTTAAAGATGAAGAAATTCGTAATGAACATAAAAAATTTTTTTCTGTAGCTGAAGGTGGTCGTTTAAAAAAATCTTATATGGAAAAATTATTAGGTGATTATTTACCAACTGGAAAAAGTCAACATTCAAAATATCTCAGTAATTGTGTATTTTCAGCAATTGATACAAATAATGATGGTTATATTGATTTTATTGAATATTTAATGAGTATAAAAATTTTTCGAACAAAATCACCAATTGAAAAAGCTGATTTTATATTTCGTATTATGGATAAAAATGGTGATCATCGTGTATCAAAAGAAGAACTTGAACGTTTACTTAAATGTTTACAAGAATATCATAAGTCTTTGACAAATAATCATGCTATAGATGTAATTAGTGATGGTCCTAAACCAGCAGCTGAGACAATATTTGAAAAATTAGATGAGGATAAATCAGGTTTTATTGGTGTGTCAGAATTTAAGGATGGTTGGCTTAAACATGAAACTATTCGAGCTTTATTTAATTTTTAAAATATATATTTATTTTGACAAACTAAAAGTTTTTTTTTTTTTTTTTTTTAATTTTTATTGACAAAAAAAAATATATAATGACAGATTTGTTTTTTTTTTGTTTTTCAAAATGAGATTATCTTCAGTTATAATTTTTTAAAGATGAGATTACTTCTGTAAAAATAAAATAAGATTTATTGTACATAAAATTATATATTTAATCATTCGAAAAGTAATTGATGATAACAAAGGTAACAATCTAAACACATCATACTGATAATAGAACGAGTATTTTGAATATAATATTGCAACAATTCACAGATATTAGTTGGATATCAGATAAGATTGATTAAAAACTAATTAAAAAAAAATCTGTATGATTTGCTTCATATTGCCATGCATATATGAGTTTCGATTATTAAAAGATGAATAATGCTTTTCTATTTGCTCATGCCCTTAAGATAACATGTTTGATATCTTTAATGAATCTATTACTTTTAGTATTTGAAACAAAATCTATGATACAAAAAAAAAATGACTTCAATTATCGAATACTATCGATTCATAAACATGGAAAGTAACAAAATGCAAATTCAAAATGTAACAGAAGATCTTCCAGTAAGTTGCTTTTTTAGTATAAAAAGGAAATTCATATTTAGACTTATGATAGTTCAAGCTCATAAGCAGAGATAGTAAATAGTTAAAAATTCTTGGTAGTTGTTGGATGATAATGATTAATTTCAATTATTCGGAGAGTGTACACTTCCTAGTTTTTGTGATCTATGCTCATAAACTCAGGTGAACTGCTCAAAAGAACTGTTGACTACTAGCGTAACCAGATGATCGTCAGTGGTAGAGAAGTGTCATACGATCTTGACAGAAATCTATGTTGTGCTTCACGTAGCTCCTGTTGGCATAGATCACTTCCTATCAAAAGAATTGTCAAATATGGTACGATGTCAGACGCTAGATGACTAACATATTATTAGTAGTTTCTGTTTTAACTATGCACTTGATTCATGATTTCGAAATAATAAGTCTTATTCAATTATTTTGTCATTAAAAAATTCGATATTTCATTTATAATCGAATGAAATACTTTCTGACAGAGGCAAGTTTCTGTAAATATATGCTTTAGATTGAAAACGTTATGCTTGTGCTGTTCTCTATGATTTTCATTAAAATATTTCTTGATACCATGATAAGAATTTCTCAATATTCCTAATGAGTATATGATAATAATGGTTCTTTTTTAATTCTTAAGTATATCATGTAAAAATATTCTGAATATATTCATTATTTCAAGATTTCATAGAGATGTCACTAGTGAAAAATGCATCTACTAATAATTACAAGAAAGAAACATCTTTTAATTTTCCCGACAGTTTAACCTACAGCAACAATCCTTATGATCGAAACTAATATAAAACTGTCGTGTGATGTCTTGATCAAGTTTTGTATAATACGAATATCTCAATAGACGATTATTAATTTTTAGACTTTATTAAATTCATAGACTAGTCTATTCGAACGCCCTCTGTAATTTTTATCTTTATTGATTTTTCTATTTTACCAATCATAGGTAGACAATATGACAGGTTTTTTTTTATTAGATATTTTTTCCGCCTTTAAAAAGGATCTGTTTATTTATTAAGTAATATGTAAAGAACAAATATTAATTATTGAGTACTTTTACTATAATTAAAAATGCAATCATTGCATTATAATAATGGATCAATTAAATTAACTCGAGAACGAGCAACAATGGTTTCTCGTTGGGAATCTCATGAAGTTGCTAGATGGATAGCTGGTATGTATACAAAATGAAAAAAACATCGATGATTGACAATTTTTATTTTTTTTTATTTTAAGGTTTGGCTGGTATTCAATCAGATATAAGTGAAATATTTCTTAAACATAATATAAATGGTGCTGCATTAGAAACTCTTTTACGTGAAGATCTTATTCGTATGGGTATTACAAAACTTGATCAACAACTTATTTTAACACAATCAATTGATCTTCTTCTTACACTTGTATATATATATTTTTTTTTTTATTGAAGTCTTGTTTTTTTTCTTTATTTTATTTTTTAGATCAATCGTTTAAATAGTGAAACTCTTGCTTTACTATTTATGCGTATACATTGTACAGCTACAACATGTTATAATCTATTAAAACGATACGATGAAGCAATAAATGATAATCGACATGTTATGAATTCACCTGAATTTTATACATCTATTAGCAATCTATCAAATGCAATTGTTGAAACTTGTCATTGGCTTGGAAGGTAGAAGAAAAATTAAAAATTTTCTTGATTATTTTTTTTTTTCTGTTTGGTTAGATTACCTTTTATTGAAAATGTTGAATATATTGATTTAAGAAGAAAAATAATCAAAGCTCTCGTTCAGATACGTGTTTTAATTCGTAATTTACGTCTTGTGGATCAAATTAATATGCCAAAATCAAAATTGATTCTCGAAGTAAATTTATTAATTTAAATATATTCGAATACTTTCTTTACATTATTTTTTTAGATAAATGAATTACGAACAACTGCTATCTCATTAGTTCGTCAGAATAAAGATTCATTATTTTCATCAGATTGTTATTTAACACGAGTTAATTTACGACGTCCAATTAAAGATGATGTCGTAAGAGGAAAAATATACATATATATTTAAGAGAATTTTATTTTATTTAGAATATTGAATATACAACAATGCCTGATTTTACACATATTATATCAAGTATTGAAACAGAAGTAAGTTTATTTGAATATTGAAAATTAATATGAAATGAATTTTATTTTCAGGCTATAGGTTATATGGGATCTGGTTTTAGTGCAATTAATATTGGAGATGAAATTATTGAAATTAATAATCAAGTTGTGGTATGTTATTTATTTCAAAAAATTTTAAACCCAAATCCACTATGAATAATCCGGAAAAGAGTTTAGGCCCTTTTCTTATTGTTGCGGAGATACTGCACTGTGAAGGTATTCTTCAAATGAATGTTGTGTTAGACATACTATTACCATAGTTGTATTCTTAGTATAGGAACAGCGATAAACTCGGAAACATTCGCAAGAAGTTATTCTTATTAAAGCTTGGCTTTATACAAAGTTTCAAGTCGAAATTCAGAAATCAATTTTTTTGAGCAAAATACTCGAAGTACTCGTACTCGAGGGGTCGCTACTCGTACTCGGGGGTTATTACTCCTACTCATACTCGAGAACATCCGTCCTTGCCCAGCTTTGAACTCTTGGTTTATTTAGGTCTATATATTACTGTATATAGTCTCGACTCGAAAGTGATTTATCAGTTGCAGGACATTTGTCGTTAGTTACAAGCGATCAAGAAAAGAAATAAATTATGAATATACTAAAACATCACTTCTTATCAAAGATTTTTGCTAGATAAGCCCCATCGTTTTGTTTCATACATCAATACTTATTAACGATTAAATTTCATAATAGATTACACCTGTTATTTTATCTAAAAAATTCTTGGTGTAGATTCACATACAGTACGTACTTGATTGAAAGGTCAAAAACAAATGGTTTTCCTATAAGATATTGGAAACAGAGATGGACAAAATCGCACCGCGCCTCCCCGCGCCGCTGCTCACGCCTACGCTACACTAGTCTGAGTTTCGATGAGCGCGTGCTTAGAGCATCCCGGCATTCGGTGGAGTTTGAGAAACTGATTGGTAGAGCAAAGAGAAAGAGAGATGTGCGTAGCGCCTAGGCGTGAGCAGTGGCGCGAGGAGGCGCGGTGCGCTTTTGTCCATCTCTGATTGGAAAGAAACGACTTTAGGGGCTTCTGTAAGATTGCTGTATTTCAGATAAAAAAACATCACACAGAATTCGGAGACGTCATATTTTGTAAAGAACTATTTGTTCTATATGCTGAAAAACTAGCCGTTTGGTTTTCTGAAGTCTCTGTCTTTGAGAATCTGACAATCATTTTTTTTTTTTGCTTGTATTCCTTTTGAAAACAATTAACTCTAGTCAAATCACTATTGGGATTCTTTCTAGCGCTTACAACAGCGGAAAAAATTAAAAATAAACCTTGTAGAATTATTTTAGTGCTCACTGTATCTTATAGAATTTTGTAAACTTTAAACAGATATTAATCTATCATTTAAAATATTTTTTTAAATATAATATCAAATCTTTTGTTTTAAAGATCGGTTGGGATCCAATACATTTTACTGATTTACTTCGTTTATCGTCCCATGTAAATGAAATATGTTTATTAGTGAAAAAAATGCCTCGACATAATGATGATGAAATTTATACAAAACGTATAGCTGATTTAGCACCAAATCCTCGACGTACACGTGCTCGTGGTGCTTTAGAACGAATAAAACAAACAGAAGATAATCGAACACGATTATTGGAACAAGAAGGGTAAAAAAGAAATGTTTCGTTTGTTTTCTTTTCTTTTCTTCTAACATTTTTCACTAATCATCATAGAATTCGAGAAGAAAAACAGGTAGATTAAATTATTTTATGTTGTATTATTATGAAGCGCTTTTTTTTTCTTTATGTTGTCTTGTTAATATTTATTATTAGTTTTATGGTCGAATCTCCTTAGATGACAAAAAAAAAAAAACTCTTGAGACCAGACTTGTATTACTAGATAGAGTCGCTTGACAAAAGAACTTCTTCAGCTCTTCCCTTGCGATTTTATTGATACTTTTGCTTATAGATACTTATTACATCGTGCTCTAATGAAAAGTCTAAAGAGTTTGGGTTTGACTATGATGTTGAATTTTTTTCCTCGGGATCACATATTTTTAGAAAACTCGTTTTTTTCGAATGTCGTTATTTTGAAAGTTTTATATTTCGAACAGACTTTGCTCAAAGCTTCTGAATCTTGTTTTTTATGGATACTATTCTAGCTGAGTACTGTATATGCGCAAAATTTCAGATCAAAATACGAGTTTTCTGAAAATCTGAAACCTCGAGAAAAAAATTCGATAGCTTATTTAAAGCCAAATAGTTTTAACATTTTTATAGAATACTATGTAGTATCTATAGGCAAAACGAAATCATTGAAATCGAAATGAAGAAATTGAAAAGGTTCTCTTGTGAGACTAGACATGACTAATAATAATTTCCGCCTTTGTTGTTTTCATCTCAAGTCATGACAATTTTATTGCATTTCGAATTTAGTGTAAGATATGTCATCATTTCGAACTGAAGTTTGAACTATAAAAAAAGTCTTATGATGAAATTTTTCTGAAATATTTGCATTCATTAAAAGCAAAATATCTTAAGTAGAAAGCAATTGTTCGGACTGAAAATTTCAGTGTACGATAGAATTGATAGGACATTTGAAATGACAACATTAAATTTTTGATGACATACTATGCACCAAATGAGAATCTCAATAAAATAATCATAAAATTTGAAAACAAAGTAACAAGTATGTGAAATATTATTGATTTTGCTTAGTCTTAGTTGATTCTATCTGGTGATAAAAATCTCATCTCAAGAGCTTTTTATCATTTGGAAAGGTTCTTTCTTTAATTTATAGAAACAAGTTTTTTTTTTAACATGATTATTTGTTTTGTTTTTTTATTTATATTTTCCTTTATATATGTAGAGAGATTGATGTTGAAAGCGATGATGAAACTCTTTATCAAAGTAAACGTTCTTCACAAATAAAGCGTGATCAACATTCATCATTACCTGATCTGACTGAATCACTTACAAGTAGTAATAAGTCAAATATTAGTCCAATATCTGATCATAGTGAACCATCATCATCAGCATCATCTATATCTACAACTACAATGTTATCACCAACATCTCCTATTAAAATGGATTCAAAACGAAAAAGTATGATAAGAAGAAAAAAAAGAAGGATGTAAATCAATTCCTAATTATTTATTGCTTTATTCTGTTACAGTTAGTGATCGACCACAATCAACTGGTGGTACTCCTACATCACCAAACATAACACCGAAAAGTCCAAGAAAAATGGTAAAAAATGTGTATTTTTTTAGTATTAATCGTCATTAGATACCTAGAGTATGACGAAAAAAAGTACGAAAACATACAATACTGAACAACAATAATAACCTTTCTCATGAATGGGTTGATGTGCATTCGTATTAGGCAGAGATGAAACCATAGTACCGATCATCAGTGTATCTCAGAGAATTTTACAGAACAGTTTGCATCGTTCTGCTCTGCAGTACATTATCACTCAGTCATAATGTTTTGCGAGACGTCATAGACATACTTGTTTAAACAAAAATCATTCAGAATATAACCATATTAATAAACCTTATTACATGTTTTCCCGCAGAAATGTAAATGAACAATAATAAAACAAACATACAGATATACGATGGAACATGTAATATATAAAAATAGATACATAACGAAAAGTAATAAGTTTTCTTCTTATTGCTTTGTCTCGAATTTCTCGTGTAAATGAATAAATAAAATTTTATTAATTTGACTTCGTAATAAACGTGTTCGTCGTTGAGTAAATGTCAATTTAACTGAGCTAAATAATATTTCTATCGATGTATGAGTTGCTCGTATGGTATATACTGATAATAATGAGCAATCACGATGGATTTCATTATTAGACTAGAGTGTCCTGTAGGACTTGCGTCGTGCATTGCTGAATATTGTGAATTCTGTAGAAAACACATCTTGTTTTGTTCTCTGATTAGAGTCAAACAAATTCCATTAAAATATATAGAATTATTTTTTTTTTTTGTTAATGAAGTTATATTTTATGTTTAACAATCAATTCTTGGCCAGTTTACATAAAGATCATTATTTGAGAATTTTTTAATTTACTATAAAAAATGTTCATCTTTTTAGGCTTTTGAATCTTATTTTTCAACATTATTTCGTACACGTCAAGATGCTAAATCAGTTATTCCTGATTTAAATGATCATACAACTAAAGATCATCCACAATTAGTTACTGTTAAACGTATTGATTCGTTATATAAACAAAATTCTTCAAATAATTCTACAACATCACTTCAAGATGATCAAATCATAGCATCATCTCCACCACCATTACCAACAACAATTGATAAAAATGATAATCAAAATAATTTACCAACATCAACGCGTTCATCTATTTCAAATATTTTTAAAGTAAATATCTTTTTTTTGTCTTCTTCTTTCCTTTTATCAATTAATTTAAATATTTATTTCTTTTAAAGTCACCTGATCAACGAACTAAACGACAAAATGTCGATAATGGAAAAAATATGACGTAAGTTTATATGTATATATAAACGTATAGAAAATGAATATGTATTTTTTTTTTATAGATTTCGAAATGAACTTAAAATGGAAATTGGATCGATCTTTGGAAGTCATACTAGTGGTATTGTTGCCAATAAACCACCATTAAATCATAGCGATAATCGAAAAGTATGATGATTCTTATCCAAATAATATCTTTTTATAAAACACGATCTAAAACGAGTATTGAAGTACAGGCGGATAGAGATATCTTGAGTCCCCACAGACTGTGACACCACTTAGCCACGGAGCTAAAGTCTTCTATGGGATGATTATGATAGAAGATTGAATATAAGATACGGGTCTTTGTCCTTGCCCCCCCCCCCCGCCCTCTCTCTCTAGCTATTCAACCTCACTGTAACATTCCGTACGTTGCAGAATTTCTTGATTTACAATAGATACAGATCAATCGTGTTTCTTATTTTAATCTTGCGAAAATTGCAGTAACAACTTTTATTTTAGAATTCTGTTACTACTGAACGACGTCGTCCAAAACATAAACGTAAGTAATTTAGATTCTTTAAGAGTTCGATATCAGAAATATTTTTCTAGCAACTGTTGAGTGGTAAATTAAAATAAGAAGGTAACATTTTTCTATCTATATAGATATAATTTATTCTTTTGCACATATCAATGCTAGGGATTGACCGAATTGTTTTTTTTTTATTACAAATCTTATGTAAAAAGTTGAATAACAGGAGTAATATGAAATTATTAAATTGAAGAAAACGAATATGATCATTTTGTAGGACTATGCCGGTAGCATAATCGATTTATATATTGCGGAAAATAAATATTATTTAAGAGGTATTACTCAAAATCGGCCAAAATCAATATTCGTGTCGTACGCTTTTATTTTCTAATTTTTCACATAAATAACGATGATTTTTATGAAAGTCAATCATGAGAGACCTAAATTTTGTTGTTTCTTAAGAAAGTTATTTACATTTTGAAAAATAGTAGATTTTTGACGATGATACTATCACGACTCTACATTTCAATTTTAAAATTGTAAAAAAAATCTTCAAGTCTAATGAGAATTTCAAGATGTATAGACCCATGTTGTCTTTCTTTTGGTAAGACTGACGATTAACTGTAGTTACTAAAAGAACCACCAATTTCGACAGTTCACTTCTGTTGTACCTATTATTGATTATTATTATTTTTTGGTATTAATTTGCTTTTCTCGATCATGAAAACATCGATATCATTTCGAAAAAGACAATTTTTATGTATTACAGTCAGTGTTTCCAACAGCAGGTATACACAGCATAAGAAAAATGTACAGAAGACGTGCACTTTTTGATTTACACTTTGATNTTTGATAAGCTGTGTCGAATGGTGTTTGAATGAACTTTCTAGCTGTTAAACCTTCCGAGTTAATTGAAGAACAGTGTGTCAAAAACGTAACAGCGTTACGTTTGGACAAGCCGATGATTTCTTTTATTTTGTCTTCTCACTCTTTCTGTAGATAAATAATTAGTTCTAATTGTAGAACGACTCTCTGCTTGTTATATTGTCATCGATGCTAATAACAATTTTTTTCAAACATATTTCAGATTTATCGTTCATACGTAAAAATGTTAAAAGGATAGAATCTTTATAGTTTCGATCTGACTTTAATTCTCCGTATGAAGACGAAGATAAAAATCAAGACAACAGGTGTTTTGATGATATCATGTTTGAAAAAAATCCTAAATTAAAATTACTATATTTTTAGTATAAGCTCATAGTTTTTTTCTTAATTATTTCTTCGTAAATGGTCTGTTAGATTTTGGAAAAATACGCTTGTTCTTCATTCGTTTGTTTCGCCAACTATTAATTTATACTCATCATTAAAAACATTGTCTTTTGTTTCTTATTTTAAGAAAACATTAGTTTTTAGTACACTTTATACATCTTGGTACCAAAAACAAACTGTAAATGTACATTTTGTTTTCGATTTCCATTGGAAACACTGATTACAGCATGAGGACTATTCTATTTATATATTTTGAGCGTCATCGCATTGATATATTAAAATACAAAATGAACAAAAAAAAAAAACGTAACTTTGTCAAATAAGTTACTTTATTTATATATGTAAACTACGCATCAACGTACATCAATATAACGTATCATCTGAAGGAAGTTAACATTTTGAAATTCGCTTGTTTTCTGACTAATGATTGCTTTTATATTAGAAATAATGTGTGTAATTATAGTTGAAATGAATATGATTTTATAGAATATATTAGTTCCGCTTTAGTAACAACGCAATTAGAATTAACAAAAAAAAAATTATTTTATATTGTAGTTTATTAGCAAGCATAACATTTAAACATGCTAACATAGCGTGAATATTTTTCATGTCACTGATCTCAAGGTTAGTTATGATAATGTTGGTTCTCTAACCAACAATACAATAAATGAATACATAATAAAAAAAATAAAGAGAAGCAAAATCATGACAAAAACATAATAAATAAAAATATATTATTGCTTTTACGATCTGACAAAATTTAATTGAAGATTCTAGAAAATACTAAGTATTAATCTCTATATGAGTATATTTTGATTTAATTCGGACTATCTCTAGCATATGCACATATTATATTGGGTTTTGCCATTCAATATATGATATTTTTCTATTAGTTCATATTTATTTGTTTATTATTTATTTTAGCATCGTATAAAAAAATTTCATGTAAAGATTTGGGTAAAGGTGATTGTGAAGGTTTTCTTTATCGTTATTTACCAAAAGGAACATTATCACTTGTACAATGGCGACTTTATTGGTGTGTTTTAAAAGGTGGTACTTTATATGTATTTAAATCAAAAGATGTAAGTTAAAATTAATAATGAATAAAAATAAATAAATATTTGTTTTTTTTTTAAAAGGATAAAAATCAAGAAGTTGAAATAAAACTTGAAGGAAAAAATGTTTCACCAGCACCAGAACGAAGAAAATAGTATGGAAATAAATCTTATAAGAAAACGAAAAAAAAAAGAAAAATCTTCTTTGTTTATTTAGTGGTTTTCGTATTGCTGATGAAAGTAGTAAATATCGTGAATATTTTTATTGTTCAACACGTGATGAAATGGCTAAATGGATGAATAAAATGGGTTTAGCAGCTATTAATTTTAATATGGATGATTCAAAAATTGGTGGTTTTCATAAAGGTTTTGTTGATTCACGTGAAGGATCACCAGCATCAACACCAACTATTGGTGCATCATCATCATCATTATCATTATCATCAACTAATAAACAACAAGAAATTGGTCATAGAAGTTCAGTTGGTGATAGTGAAAATGATTCAGATAAAGAATCAATTGCATCATGGCATAAATCGGCATCACATCATAGTAGTGTTTCTGATACGGAACCATCGAGAGATAAAGTAAATAAATAATAAATTTTGAATTTATATGAATAAAAAAATCTTTGTTTTTCTTTTTTCTTTTTTTTTTTATAGCATGATAAACGAGCTGATTTATCATCTGTTACTCGTAATGCACGTTCATCATCATCAACTTCAATTTTATCTGATACACATAATAGTTCAATTGTGTGTCCATCAAATCGTTTTGTTGGTCAAATAAATACATCATCAAGTAAAGGTCATCATCGAACAAATAGTTCACCAATACAATATCCAACATCATATGAAGATGATCAAGACAATGCTTATGTGAATGCAGCACCAAGACTTTCGGATTCAGATTCATCAAATGAACTTCCTTATCAAAGAATGTTCACTAATAATCGAATTCTTAAGAATAATCAATCACAAGATGTAAGAAACATGAAAAATAATTATATGAATTTAATTTATATTATCAAATGATCATTCGATATTTTCTTTTTATAGCTATATAATAGATTTTCATATATTAGGGATATATTTATTATGACGAGGGAGAATGTCTCAAAGAGATAAAAAAAATTATTGAGACGAGACTTTTTATTATGAGATAAAATCTACTAATGAAGGAAGTCTTCGACAGACTAGAACAAGTTTAAAAGAGTTAGTTAGCATCCATGAGTCTCTGCTGTCGAGTTATAACCATTTTACTGAATTTCCGATCTGAAATTTTGTTCATAGATAAGTATGATGACCCTTGGAATATTCTAAAAGTTTTAGCAGAAAAGAATATTCATATGTTGAACTATTGAATTTTTGTAATATGTTTAAGGGGACCCCCCTTTCCTGAGCCAAAAAATTTTTTTCGATTTTTTTTTTCTCGTGTAAAGGTGTGTCAAGGTCCCCTCTATGTGTGCTATAAAAATCAGAACCATCAAAGGTCGAGAAGTCTCTGAAAAACCAGGTTTTTTGGAGACCTATGCATTAAAAAAAAATTTTTTTTTTTAACATAAAGTTATATTATGATATGGTATACTTATACTTACGTATAAGCGAAAAAAAAAATTCTTCTACAAGTTTTTTTTATTTTGCATTTTTCTCGAAAATAGTTTTTTGGGTATCAAAAACCAGTTTCCCCCTTTTTCTCCGCCATTTCAAGTCCGATCGAGCTGAAAATTGTTTTGATGAGACTTCAAGTGATTTGGGTTGGGTGTTGTTTTCTTTTTGGATACCTTCTACCAATCAAGTTTGGCAGGCTTCGCAAAATTTGTAGGATCCAAAAAACCTAGAGATTTTGCGAAGTGCTCAGTATTTTGGTTCTCCAGCCTGAAGTATTTGGAATTTTTGAAAGAAAAAAAAACACGCACCCCGATTGGGTCCGTCTACCCGCATTAAAAATTTTAGCTCAAACGGATGAAATCTGTGGATTTGCGTGGGAGAAAACTTTTTGCAAGTTTTTGACCTTGGGGTCTCTAGAAGTCCATGAAGATGATGTCTGGAAAATTTGTGTCTACGACAACTTTGCTCTACTACTCGAGGTCTATCTACCCTGCAAGTTTCAAGAATTTTCGTTCGGCCGTTTCTCTGAAACGCCGGAAAGGAGGGTCCCCTTAAGACAAGCAAATATTTGCTGAAAATTTAATGTCTCGATAAATTAAAATTTTTTTTTTTCGTTGAAACTTTCAACATATTCCAAAGATCTCTAGGTCTATCTATAGGCTGAATTGCAAGTCGAAAATTCAGTAAAAAAGGTGATAACTCAGATTTAGAGATCCATTGGTACGATCCCTTTTAAACTTTTTCTAGTCTTATCAAAACTTCCTTATGGACTCAATATGAGTTCAAACGGCGGATAACAGTTAGAGTAGTTCTCTCGTAAGAGTAAATAAAACATATAATCATTCGTTTCTTTATCGCTTTCTTCTCGAATCATAATCATTCTACTGAATTTCTGATTTAGTATATCATACACAGAAAGTTTTACCTCTAACCAATGTCTTCTTCCCAAAATAACACTATTATCCTTGGAAGAAAGCATTAGTTCTAGGCGAAAATATTTGCCTTTATGAAGGTTCATAGGACTTCTTCGTGAGAAAAATTTAAGTTCGAAATGATGACATATCCTGCACTAAAGTTAGAAACTCAATAAAATTATCATAACTCGAGAAGAAAGCAATATACATACAAATCATTATAAATTTTGATGAATTTCAGTAGATTCTAGTTAATTCTATCTTGCCTTTGACTAAAGCTAACGATTCGAAAGAACAGTTCACTCAATAACATCCATCCTATAGCTCTTAATATACACACGAAAATTTTGTACTAAACCTACCAAGCACTAATATATTAAATACGTACGTAATATATTCGTTATTCTTTTTTTTATTTGAAGAAAAATTTCTGAAATTGACAACAAAGCAAGTACAACAACATGATTCATATAAATGCATGAACACCACATTCACATCGTACGCTGTGGATGTGTGTGGCTGAACATAACGCTCGCTTATCCACCCAACCTAATCTTACACATCGTGAAATTTATATTTATGATGAAGATTAGATTCGAATTATTAATTTAAAATCCATAATAGATATGCTTTAACATAACGAAAAATCTTTTTTTCTAAATGTCTTACAGTTCAAGAGAATGAAATTTTTATAAAATGGTTAATGATGAAAGTCTTATCTTAAAACACATTTTTGTTTCCGTGAGAACTAACAAAGAATTCGATTATATGTTTTATATTTGAATTTAATTTCATTTGAAACTTTAATTATAAAATTCACTTGTGATACAAAGAGAAAGTACTGATTTTTTTTTAGGATAATCAAAGTTCACTATTGATTCTCTATGAGAATTTAATATTCTACTTATCATATTAAATCATCATTGATAATTTTTATTTTTATATAGCTACTTCAATCTTCAACTAATGATCAATCAAAAATATTGAATTCTTCAGGTGGTTTTAATCCTTCAATAGCTTCTCATTTATCAACATTTAATGAAAAATCTCCATTCTCATCACGACAACCTCAGAACAGTAGTATTTTACTTGCTGGTGATGAAGTATTTTCAACACAAAACGTAAATAGTCCTGATGTACAATTAAATTCATTATCAACTACTTCACCAAAACAATATTCACCTGCTGTTATACGTACTGCTCCATTGTATATATCTGTTTATACATCAACTCCACCAATTCCTCTTGTTAAAGGTATTGCTGCATCATCAGCACCTCCAATAAATGATGATGAATTATTTTTTACTCGTCGTTCACCTTCACCACAATCACCATCGGTATTAAAAAAACCAGAACAATCAATTACAACAAATCTACCATCAAATTATAATAAATATCATCATTATACCTCCACACAATAATAAAATTATTCGTCTTTCTTCCGTTTTTTTTTTTTTTTTTTTCTTGGCAATACTTTTTAAATATTATACCCGGTTGTCTCTATTATATCTATTTTTTACAATATAATATTTGTTTTATTTCATTTTCATAAATATATTTCTCATTATTATTTAATTTCTTAATCATTTCTTCAGACAGAATGACTATCGTAATCAACTAGAAAAAGAAATGTATTTGTAATTAATTAATCAAATTCTATAACAACAACAGAAGTGATTTTATCAAAAGTTCTTTTCGAGTATGGGAAAAAAACTACACAACAATCATTTACATACATGCCGAGTATATCAGTAAGTAAAATGAATCATTAGGTTGAGTCATAGATTATTTTAGTAGTCACACAAAAGTTCTTATGAAATTATCATCTTGAATGTTTATCAGAGGTAAGAAGTTTTTAACACAAAACTAAACCATCATTGAATTATTAGAAATTTTTAATAAATTTTATATCATTATCATGTTTTTTGAAAATTTTATAGATTTGAATAATATTTTTTTTGTTGATAAAGTTGTTATAAGTAAAACAAAGAATTGATATTAAATTTAATACTAATAACTAAAAAGTACTCTTCTTATATTTGATTAATCAAATAACAATCTATTGAATAAATCTCTAATTGCAGTAGAGGCTACCGGTGCTTCTATTATGGAAAGGAGGATAATTGTCGAACTAGAAAAATTCACCATTTTTGATATACCATCTACATTTATAGTCTTAGAAAAATAAAATTAGTCAAAATTAAGCAACAGATGATTATGCTACTATGTATTTTACAACGGAAATCGTAAATATAGATAATGATAAGAATAACTGTAGAGAAAAATCATGATTTTTCAATATGGAATCTATATCACGATATCTTAGGATATGTCCAAGATTCGTATAAAATTTTCTACAGTTATGCTTCTCATTCTAAGTAAAACTTTTAAATAACTTGGATGTGGGTTATGTACACACGGCGCCTGACCGAGACTAATTGAATAGTATCTGTGGAGTCTCGCTTGAAAAGCTGAAATTATCTGGATAAAATAAAAGTTTTGAAGTTTCTAATATGTCTTTTACATCAATACTTTTAGAAGAGTTTTGTATTTGCGGGGAGTAATTTTGTAAAAGTTTTCAGAGTACATTCAATCCTTAGATTAACCGTTTTTTTTCTGTATGTTGAAATACATCATCATTTAAAATAGGTAATCTCATATGAATGTACAATATGAAGTGAGGAAAATTTTTAATCAATATCATATTCATCTTTTGTTTGATTTGTCGACTTTTATATAATTCTTACACGTAAAATAATTCTAATGAGCAGCATTATGCAGAAGAACCGAGACTAATTTTCTATCTCTATCATCCATTTCTCTTCAGACATACTGATACTTTGAGATTATCAAATTCCTATTAGAACAATGCAACGTAAAGATAAACTGTACACAGGATAAGGCAGGGATATGAAAAAAGAACTTACGAGGGAAGGTCCCCAATTGATCAATCGCTTTTGCGTTGAGGCTATGTGCACCATATAGGTACAAAAGAGTTATGAATACCCTGAAAAAAGTTCGGGCTGCTAGCTTATTGCTACGGAGATACTGCACTTTTACGGTATGTTTTTAAATGAAAGCTGTGATCTCCCTCAGGAACACCGACAAAAATTATTTTCGAATTTCGACTTGGGAACTTTACATATAAACAGACCTTACCGAGAATAGTATTTTATCAAAGTTTCAGATCTTTTTGCTGTTGTTATCGGTAGATACAACTATGATAATGTTATTCAGATAAACCAAAAGATTTGATGTTGTCATTTCAGGATAAGAACAAATAGAAAGACCTAAAAGTTTCACAAAATACTATTCTCGGTAAGGTCTGTTTATATGTATAGTTTCAAGTCGAAATTCGAAAATAATTTTTTCCAGTGTTCCTGAAGAGGACCACAGTTTTCACTTAAAAACGTACCGTAAAAGTGCAGTATCTCCGTAGCAATAAGCTAGCAGTCCGAACTTTTTTCAGGGTATTCATAACTCTTTTGTATCTGCATAATGCACATAGCATTAACGCAAAAACGATTGATCAGTTGGGGACCTTCCCTCATGAGCTCAAACGACGGATGTCGATTCGGGTAGTTCCAGCATACGTAATGAAACAAAAAAATAATAAAAAAAACTGGTCATTCCTTACTTCACACATATTCTATTCATAGGATCATGTTGTCTTGGCTTTACTCAAAGTGGTATTCTTGTTCTTTTTCGTACAATTAGTCTTGATCATTCATCAACACCATCTATGCTTAATGTACTTATTCATTTATTTGAACAACATATTGTTCAAATACCTAGTCCACTTGATATTTGGGATATATTATGTCTTATACCAAATTCTAATTATGATAATTCAATAATAAATGAACTTGTTGATCAATTAGTCATACGTTATGATGAACAAACAATTGAATTTAAACGTAATTATTTTACTCGTTTTAAACAATGTCTTTATCATTTACATCGTCTTGCATGTCCATTTTCAATTGATAGTTGTGAACATTTAACTAGTTTACTTGTTTATCTTGTTTTACTTATTGTTCGTGATTATCTTCGTTTATTTATATATGAACCAACAAATAGAAATTTTGTTGAATCAGCACAAGAAATTCTTCAACAAACATTATTTATACAAAATATTGATATAAAACGTATTAAATATTTAGGTGATCAACCAATAACAATTGATTCAATAACAGTTGATCCAAGACAGTATCAATTAATAACATTTACATCATTAATTAATTGGATTTCAGATATTATTTTTTATCTTATTGGTTATTTACAATTACAACAAATACCACAATGGTTAACATGTAAACATTTTTTTAATGATTCAAGACAAATACAATGGTTAAGAGAATTTATTATATATTTTTATATACTTAATAAAATGAATAAAATACCATATACTAAAATAGCACATATACAACCAATATCACAAAATGTACAAACATCACAAGATTCACAACAACAAACAACAAATCAATTAACACAAAAAGATAATTTAAAAGAAATTTATAATAATTTATATAAAATTATTAAAAAAAATAAAGATAAATTTNTACCTGACTTTTACGGTCCTTTTTTTCTCTCCCTTAGAAACATCGGAAAAAAAAATGATTGCTGAATTTCAACTTGAAACTTTTGCATAGAGATAGGTTTATATGAGAGTAGTTTATTGTGATAGTCTCAGGTCTTTTGATTTCATTTAAAAAAAATACGGTAAAAGTACAATATCTCTGCAGCAATAATTTAAAGGTACGAACTCTGAAGGATTTTTCTAGTAAGTTTATGAAAAAAGAAGTTCTTCAACTGTTGAAGACTATTTAAAATCATAATTGATTGTCTCATAGGTCGAAAATAGATTTATTTTATGATTTTCTAAAATTTTTCTTCGCCACGATAACTAACTTTGAAAGAGAACAATGAAAAATTTTCATGATTATTATGATGTTAAAATCTTCTGGTCAAGATATTGATATAATTATCACTCTATAGAAGCAAAAAAAGTTCATCTTTTTCAGTTTAGACAATACTCATATTTTCATTCGAGCAACTTATAGACCCGAATTCTTTGAGAGTTTCTATTAACTTCATTGAGTTCTACTTATAATCAAAACATAAGATCAAATCATAATCAACAATTAACAATGTTGTCAAGTTCATTGGCGGGCCGGAACATAATTTTCAGGGGGGGGGGGGGGAAAAAAGCCCTTTTTCGCTTAAAAACGCTTGTTTTCATGGCGTTCTTCTTAAGTCCCAGCCAAAAAAATTTTTTTAGGGGGGGGCAATTGCCCCCTCTCGCCCCTATGCCGGCCCGCCCATGGTCAAGTTAGATAATAGTGAAGTTGATATTTACAGGATCTTTGAAAGATTCTCCCGGCTAATATTGAAATATATATTTTTTATAATAGTTTTGATATTTGAAATTACTAGCGTGAAAAATGCAAACATAAACAGTTGATTGCTGAAACAAAGATGACATTATCAACCAATTGGTAAAGTACATTGAAGGTGAGTGTGTAGGCGTAGTTAGATATGCTCTCTTCATTCTCACCTACGACCATACAAACAATCACACTCCCGAGAGAAATAGATATGAAACATATGCATGATTCAAGTTAATTTGTTCGTTAAGGTTCTTTCCGTTTTTCACCGTTGCTCTTCGTAAAAGATATTTTTCTTTCTTATGAATATAAATTGTATAAATAAAATAAACAAATTGAATTTTTTATCATCAACTATATAATAATTTGTGTTTTTTTTTTTTTTTTTTGACGTTTGAATAAATCGATATTTTTCTTTTCGATCAAAATAGAATTTACCATTTGAAAATATGTTCTGACTTCAGAATTATAAAGCGAGAATGAAATTAATTCGAATGGTAATCATTAGTAATTAATTATCTTTGATTTATCTGATATTTTTCTTAGCAATATTATTCAATGAAATAGAATGTGAAATATGTTGAACTTTTGCTTAATCTATTGAAGTAAATGTAACATTAAATATATCTTAAATGAAAAGAATTTTCTAAGAATATTAGATCTATTTATTCAGTGAATTCTTAATCTATTCTATCAATTTATTATAACAAAAAAAAGGATTAAACTTGAACTGAAAATGTTCGTTTCATTTCGTATTTGTCTGTCGTAATTGATTCGTATTTATTTTTGTCATAGTAAATGAATTAGTATAATTTCATGTCATAAACCGACTAGATGAAGTATTTTGCCAAGGAAAAATAGTTTTAGATGGTCTGAATGGTAAAAATTCAAACATGCTCGGAGTTGTTTTTTCAAAAGAACTTTTAGTTGTAACACTTGATTTAATTGATGATTGTTGTTGAATGTTAGTTGCTAGTTTTATTGAAGTTGAAATATATATTGGCGATTGAGTAGTTTCTTCGATATAATTAGATGTTTGAATTTCATTGAAAACAGCTGAGGATATTTCTTGTGTTTGAAATGAGTTGAAATCTGTTATTGTTGATAAATCATCTATTGTAGAACTTATCGATTGTTCTAAATAACTTATTGAATTAGTAGTTTCAAGTAGATGGATTGTTGATGTTGAATCAATAATTCTTTCAAATGGAATCGTTAACATAGTAGGATTAATTTTAATAGAATTTGTTGTAATACTTGATGAATTTATTTTTAATGGTAATAAAATATTTTTCATTGTTGAAGAAATATATTTCAAATTATTATTGTTTATTAAAAGACTTGAATTTATTTTATGTTCGTACGAAATATTGAATCGTATTGGTCCAACTATTTTAAATACAAAAAAAAAAAAAAAGATTTAAAAATTTAATGAGGAAAAATAAAATGATGATTTTTTTTTTACTAGAACGAAATATATTTAATGTTGAACAAATTTGTATAGATATACGAAGGTTATTTAATAATAAATAAAATGGTTGTCGAAAAGAAGTTATATTAAAAAATAAATGGCGTAAGATAAAATTACGTTCGATTGTACAATTTGAACATTGATCGAAATAAATTTGAATATTCTCAATAATTAGAATAATCGAACATGATCTATTTCGAAAAATAACCATTGTTTATTATGATTATATTTAAAATAGATATACCGTTGTTTTTGTTCATTTGTAATGGATTGATCTTGAATAAAAATTCTTTCAATAAATAAATTACGATAACCCGGTTCGTTAAGTAATTGATTGGAAAACTAAAATATATTATGTATTCAAATTTGAATGAAATGATTTTATTATTTTACAAACATATTTTTCAATTAATATTTTATTATCATTTGATAGATAAGTATTAGACGAATAATTTATTTGATTTACATTATTTATACCATAATATAAATCACCTAGATCGTATCCTTGTTAAAACAAAAAGATTGACAATATAATTATGAGAAATTCACGTACTTTCAATATCAGTTTCTCTAACAATATTAATTTCTATAAATTAGAGAATTTTTCTTTTTTTTTTTTATTGAATATTAAACAAATCAATACTAACTTCTAAAAGCAATTGTTAAACCAATAATTACAACTGAAAGAGCGAATATTCCAACACTGATAAACAAACAACCAATAAACCATAATATTTTCTGCGAACGTCTTAAACACAAATCTTCTTTTTTTAAAGAGTTTTAGTAAATATATTCTCTTTACTTAGTAGTTATAAGTGTGGGAACACGATGCATATTTGTCCAGATTGTTGGTGAAAATCTTACATGATCAGTATATAATTGAGTAAGAGTAGAATGTAACCGAGAAACTGCTTCATTCTATAACGAAAGACGGTAAAAATCATTTATTTTCTTGTCAATTGTACAAGTAATTTACTTACCGTCGGTGTCATTTCTATTTGTCGTATAATACGTATTTGTGTAGTAGTTGTCACCACGGCATGTGTTAATTCATCAGCATCAATATTTATTGATTCTACACGATTTATTCGTCTCATGCCTAAAGTTTTTTTTTTCATTTTATTCTATTATTTTAATTACAGCCTAACAAAATGTAAAATGATCGTAGACAATATTTTTACTGTTGTTCTCTTTTATAATAGAAGAAAAACACAAGAGGTGTCTGTGCAATGAATTGCCAGTTGTTATCTTTTAACAACGAAACTCTCTCATCACTAAATTACAAATAAATAGAGAAAAAAGAAGATCTATGTTTTAGGAGCACAGACTCATAATACGCGCTTTAATACTTACAAATTCCAGGAGAACGAAGTCAATCTCCGGAAATGCACTCCTCCAACAGTCTTTGCCCTGTGTCACTTGGTTGAAATCATTATCCTACTTCATAATTAACTCTTTGACTTCTGACAACGTGTGAATATACTTATTTGAAAAGGTCTTTTATCGTTTTTACAATGACTGCTTCAATAATTCAATGGCTATGTGACCTCCACTTGAGTAGTTCTTGTTGTCGATCGTTGATATTCATGCATACTTTGCGTGTCAAAAGTTTTCTAACATTTTTATTTTTGTAAATATTCGAGCAGAAAAATAATACACAATTCTATTGTTTTTTTGTAAGCAAGCTACAGAATTTAATTCTTCAAAAACGTCTTTTAGTTTTAATTTGAAATGATAGAATAGAAACAAAGTATTTCCAAGTTTTAAGAGTACTCCTTCTTCTGGCCTTCGAAGAGTTTTGACTACAGATAGAGTATCTAAAATAAGGAGACATATGTTTGAGGAAACAATTTTAAACAAAATTTTTGCGGCTATTTTCGATAATCTAGCTGTGTTAAAAATGAGAATCCGAGCAGTTATACACTCGTCAAGAACCAAAAGTGATTCAAAATAGGAGTGGTTACCTTTAAACATAAAATCTCAAGAGACTTGGTACTTATCATTGGATTTCATGATAAATATATTTTTAAAATTATTAATAAGTGTTTTATTACGATCTATTTGTGCTGAGTAGAAATTGTCTTTTTGCATGTCTATAAAGAAGAACTGTTTTTCTTTACAATAATTGAGATTTTTTGAGTTAGTTTATTTTGATTAAACAGGCAAAATAATCTTCTACAGAATTGCTCAAAAACCTACTTAACTTAGTCAATGATGTTACTTTCGTAAAATGAATCTTTACAAAATCAATGAACCATAATGAACAAAACGTATTAAAAAGTTCATAGTATTATATATAATTGATAGGTCCTTTCAAACACTTTCTATGTTTTGAAATATAAATATTTCTTTTACAGAAAAATAATACATTGTTAAAATTGTATGGAAAAGTCATTATATCGGAGAACAGTTCCAGTGATCTTTCTCTTGAGATGCCAAAACAAAAAGAAATATTCATGAATGTTATTGTTCCGGAGAAGATTGAGATCTTCGAATTGTTCCATTCAGTGACAGATAAAAAACGAAGTAAAGGCTTTGCAAAGAAATACCTATTTTTCATTAAGTGATATCGGCCCATAAGCTTAAGTGAGCTACATAGGTTTTCTATCAGTCGTTTATTGAAAATCACACTAAAAATTCACAAGAAAATATCGTCTTTCGAAATAGGAAATCTACACTGAACTGTAAAACCTGATTCCGAGTTCACCTTTGTTGGAATTAGAAATAATTAAAAAAATTTGTTCAGAGGCAACATCGAAGTTATTTCAATAAAATAGTCAAGATTTTACTTCTACATAGTAGAAAGTTTTATTCTTCCAATATCAAATGACGAAAAAAAAAAATAACCCTAAAATTTATTCTACTTTGAAGAACGAAAAATGGCATTAAATATTCATATAAACAAAGAGTATATAAAAAGTAAATAAAATCGTTTAGATATGATAAAACTAAAACAATTGATTTTTTGGAATTTTTCAAAGTCTATGTTACACGAAAAATATTAACAGATTCTGAATCGAAATCAATTATTTTTTCATCTAGTCAGTTGTATTTCTATAAATGTAACAAATTCTATTTGTGATACCATCTATTTAATTTATGTCGCTAAAAATAATCCTGAAGATGTCGCTTGTCTTTTTTTCTTATGATTGGCTAATCGATTTCACTGATTTAATTCTGAAGAAATACATAAATTTCACATTTCTTGTATAAACTATCTATCATATCAACATAAAAATATGTCTAAAAATTTGGTAACACCGAAACAAGAACCTATGGGTCCTGATGCGGTTAGTAAATAGATATTCAATTATTTTTATTTTTTCAATATTATATTATTTTCTAGGTTCGTAATATGATGTTAGCTGCTCGAAAACAAATTAAAGATCGACAACAAGAACTAAATTTTACCGTATGTATTTTACACTTATTATTAGGAATGTTACTTTATCTTTATTTTATAACATAAATATAAATACAATTTCTCTATTTATTAAAAAAATAAACAAAAAAAAAACATTTCTTTCTGTAATAAGTAAATACGCAGTATAATAATAGGATATGTCAATCAATATTTTTTTTTGTCACCAGCATGACTTCGATATGTAAGATTATTAAAAAAAGATGTTGATAGATGAAAACATATTTACAAAAAAAAATTTTTTTGTATATATCCTATTTAGAAGTCTTCGAAACTTGAGAAATTTTCGAATTTCAGGTAATTTTGAAAATGATATCATTTTGTGACGTACTAATCAGTTTCGAGTATTAATTCTTGAAAGTTGCGAAATTCCTGAAATTTCCTTTTCTAGAAATTTGACCACTGCTATTACATTAAGAAAAATGTTTATTATTTATTTGATAAAGATTTCATTGAGATTTATTTTGTAATTTTAAATAATTTCTTTATATTGAATGAGTAGTTTCTGATAAACAGGATAAAATCGTTTCCTTCTTCTAGGACATATTAGAACTTTTATTTTAAGCTCATTCGACAGAGAATTTTCTATTCTATTTAACTACCGTCTTTGTTTTTCAAATGTGTGTTTCTTTTTTTATGACGCAAAATTTAAAAGATGAACACCTACTCAATCTTCTAACAGCAATTTTCTGCATACATCTATCGATATGTGTAAGCATTTGCTCTGTCAGATCGATACTAAAAGGAAAATATTGAGCGTCAATAATTAGATATTTTCGTATTCTCTTGATCTATTCAGGATTTCCACTATTGTTATTCAGAAGATCAAAACTTTGAACCAACACCTTGTAGTATTTTGAGATACATTCTAGATAACCTATATTTTTCAAAGTAAGACTTGATCTATGATACATTTGTGGTCATGCCGTCATATGTAACATATAATCCTGAACAGAATAGTATGGTTTTTAAATTGAAGAATAGAAACGTTAGATTATGTCGAATTAAAAGATCTTTTTTTCTCGTTTATTATGCAACACCCATTATTTTATTAATTTTTGAATTTAAGATGCCAACACCTTCTGCTGAACAACGTCTAGCTGAACTCAAAGGACGAATTGCAAGTCAATTGGGTAAAATTGCAAATTTTATTTCAATCAAAAAAATGCTTTTGTTTTTTTCAATTTTTGTTTTAGGACAACTTCTTCCAGTGCCCGTAGAAGATCGAGATCGACCCGTACATGTAACTATTGATAAAGAAGGTCGTACAATTGATTCTCTTACAGGTGAAGTTCTACAAATACCAAGTCGTATACCAACATTAAAAGCTAATCTTCGAGTACAAAAAAAAGATGTTATTAAACAAGAACATCCTAAAGCTAAACAATACAAAGAAGTTATTATTGAACATCCTGGTCTTGATGCATCAGCAGTACATTTTGATGCTCGTATTGGGTACGAAAAAAAAAAAAAAAGATTTTTTCAAATTGAATTAAATCTACTCGATTTTTGTTTCATTAGAACTCATCCAGCTGTACGTAATCGTCGTCAATTAGTATTTAATAAAAAAGGTAAATATGAAGAAATTGCAAATCGTCAACGTGCAAAAGCCAAATTGGAAAAATTACAACAAGAAATATTTCAAATAGCAAAAAAAACTGGTATTGCAGTAGAAAATAAAGTTACAATAATTCAACCAAAAAAATTTTTCGTATGTTTATTAAACTTTGTTTTTTTCTGAATAACAAAAGAAAAAAAAATTTTTTTTTTTTTTTTGTAGTCCGAACTTGATGTTCCTGATATTGAATGGTGGGATTATGTTATACTTCAACAGAATAAGTAAGTATTATTTAGTCCATTAATTTTGTTTTGCTATCGAACTGACTTCTTTTTTTTTTTTGTTTTTCAATTAGTTATTCAGTGATTATTCCAGATGCAAATATTCCACCTATGTTGACTGGTATTACTCAACTTATTGAACATCCAATACAACTTAAACCACCATGTAAGTTATAGAAATTTAGAATTGATGTTTTTTCATTGTTTTTTTTCCTTTTAATAGTTGAACCAAATAAAGCGGTTTTATTACCAATACATTTAACTAGACATGAACAACGTAAATTACGACGTCAAAATCGAGCTGAAGTACTAAAAGAACAACAGGAAAAAATTCGTCTTGGTTTAATGCCACCACCAGAACCAAAAGGTAATTATATGTATATAGAAAAAATTATTTTTATTAATTCAATTATCGAATGAAAAGATTTGTAAAACGTAAAATTTTTGAATTTAAAGAAAAAACGCTGTCGATTAAAATTACAAGAAATATTTCATTATATCTCTTGTCTTGGTTTTTTATGTCGTATAAACGTAAGAGAATTGTTATGATTAAGTACAAATGTTGAATCGCATTTCGACCAAGACAATGTTGATTTGATAAGTACTCGTAAGTAATAGAAAAGTCTAGAATAACTTAATTTTTCTAGTCTTTGTTATCAAAATATTGAAACTTCAAATTAGTATTGATTTATGTTATATTCATATGAAAACAAAATATCCAATAGACATTTATTGCCAAAAAAAAAAGACCAAAAACCTATTTCATTGACTCGATATGAAGATGTTTCAAATTGAACTTCTCTTGCTTTTAGTCAACATTCTAGTCGAATGAAATCAACTCAAAAAGAAAAGTCTAACGAGCAAAGGTCCCCAGGTGTTACGCTCCGTTTTGAATCGGACATATGCCATTTTGTAGAGCTCAGTGAGACTAGCAAAAGCTTAAAAGGGTTCTTCCCCCATGGGCCTTCGGAATCGAGTTATGCCCTTTCTACTGAATTTTTGGCCATTTTTTCGATATTGAGCAGTAAATCAAACAACGGAGTTTTGACCTGAAATTTTGCCCATAGACAGGTCTAATCATCTTTAGAATATCCTGAAAATTTCACCTGAAAAAATGTTCCTTTGTCGAGATATTGAATTATTAAAAAATCATCGCTTTTACAGACAAGGCGCAAAAAGCCAACCTACTTGAATATCCAATATCTCGATAAAGGAACATTCTTTTCAGCTG